ACCCCCACCCCAACCCCAACCCCAACCCCAACCCCAACCCCAACCCCAACCCCAACCCCAACCCCAACCCCAACCCCAACCCCAACCCCTCCCAAACCCCTTAACAACCCCATTTCCAAATACCCATTCCAAATTCATATATGTATTTATTTTATCATTTTATTAATTTAATTCATTTTATATATAAATTTTATAATTTTTTTATTTTTATATAAATTTTATCATATTTGAATTAAGTAATTTATATTTTATTATAATAAAATATTTTATATAAATTATATTATATTATTTTATTTAATTAAAATTAATTTTTTTTTTTATATTTATATATATTTAAAATTTTTATTTTTTATTTGTAATTATAGAAAAAATATTAATTACTTTTTTTATATATTTATTTTTTTAATCAATAAAATTTTTATTTATTTAATTTTTATTAATATTTATTAAATTTAATTATATAAATATATTTTTAATAATTGCATTATTATATATATATATTTAAATTTATATATTTTTTTTTTTAAATTAAAAAGGATATAAATAATAATAAATAAACTATATCAAATGAAAACAAAAATTTTATTTATACTTCCATTCATATGTTTATAATATTCAAATATATAACCAAACTGTAATATTGAAACTTAAGGATGTAGTATTTAAGAAAATGAGAACATTAGTATAACAGAATCTTAAAAATAAGTAGTAAAATAGATAAATCCATTTTCAACTTATTCAGAATTTTTAAAATTTTTTGATTAAAAATATTAATAATAAATGAAATTATAATTAAGCTACAGATATTTTTTGCCAAGAACTTTTATAATAAAATCTGGTGTCTTCTCATAATAATAAAAATAAGAGCTACCTTAATAAAATGAAGACATAATTGCATAAATAAACGAAAATGTATTATATTATATAAAATCTGATGATTTAAAAAATAAGCATTAACAATTAAAATTAATAAATATGACATCTGAAAACTAATAATATTTTAAAGATTATTAAGGATAAGAAACTTTAATTTTATAAAAAAAATAGAATAAACAATAAAAGATAGCTAGGGAAATCCTATAAGATTAAAAATAATTACTGTGCAAATAAGAAAAGAGTAATCTGAAAACCCTTAATCTTATTATAAAATATATAATATTTAAAATTTGGTGAATATATTAAAATAAGACGAAATTTAATTAATTAAAGGGAGGTTAGAAAAAATTAATTTTTATATAAATAAAGAACTTTTTAACTAATAAAAAGAATAGAAATAAGAACATTATTATTTATCATTTGAACTAAATTTTTTAATAACAGAAAATGATTATAGACCATTATTAGTATCTTTTAAGAATTTAAGGACTAATATCCTTTAATAAATTAATGATTTTAAGCCTTTAACAAAAAACATTAATGAAGACAATTCTTTTAAAATAACAAAATGGGATTTTGATTATAGACGAAGAAGAGTATTCATCTCAAATAATTTGAACTTTCACTATTTCAGAAAATACTTTAATGATTCAACTATATAATTTTAACAATATAATTACACATAAGTAAAATACTAATATTAATAGTATTTATAAAAAAGTGACATTAAAATTTTAACTATAAAATGGTTTTATTCTGAAAAAATGAAAGAAAGCTTATAATTGTCTAATTTTATTAATTATTATGAAATAATAGATAATAAAGATTAAATTATTGAAATTATTGAAAATTATTAAAAATAAAATTTTTTGGCTTATAATCCGCATTTATTGATTCCTAAATCTTATAATATAAATTTAAAAAAATCTTATTATTCATAAGAAGAAAAGCTTTTCCTATAAGAAACTGAAGGGGCTTGGATTATAAAGGAAACATATTAGGTAGGAGGATATGGTATGATTATATGCTCAGATGTAAAAAGAATATAAAACGATTTGTAGTAAATGAAATAAAGAAAATAAAAAAAAAACTCTCAAAAATATGTTATTTAAAGATATATTTAAAACCCTTTACTTTATGATGGTAGAAAATTTGATTTGAGAAGTTATTTACTTGTAGCTAGTGCTGATCCTTTAATAGTTTATTATGTACATGGAAATATGAGGCTTTCATTTACTAAATATAATAATAATTTCACTTTACTGAGAACTAAATATGATGATATGAGTGCTCATTTAATTAATTGGACTTAGTAAAAAAAATATGTAGGTGATGATGAAGAATTAAATTAATTATTAGGTGGAACTTTTGCAGATTTTGAAAATTTTTTGATTAATTCTTATGGTAAAACTAAAGAATGGATATATGAAAATATATACGAAAAAATGTTTGAAATTTTCGCTTATATATTTGAAGCTTCTAAAGATTAAATGAAGAAAAAGTAAGGGCATTTTTAAATATTTGGAACAGATATTATGCTTGATGATAATCTTAATGTTTACTTTATTGAAAATAATGGCTTTCCAGGAATAACTTATGATGATAATAAAATATATCACTATCCTATTGAAACTGCTGTAAATAATACTATTAGAATGGCCACATATGTGCAAGAGTAATAGGTTAAAGGTTAAATTATTGACACAGACTATTTAAATTCAATTTGTATAGATTGTACACTTATTTATAATTAATTAACTAATTATTCTTTTGTAGAAAAATATAGATAGAAATGATTTTTTTTTAAAAAAAAGTCTATATTTTACTTTAGTTTTAATTATTTATATCAAAAAAAAATGAAGGTTTTTTATATATCTTAATTTGAAGTTATTTTGAAAATAATAATATAAAGATTTTAAATAATAAGCAATTTACGATTATATCAAAATAAATAAAAAAAACATAAAGTAAACAAAAAATAATGAAATTATAAATTACTATTAATAAATTTATTACAATTTTTTTTTTTAAAAAATTTATATATAAAGTAATATAAATTAATTTTTTAGTATTATTATTATCTAATTATCAGTTTTTGCCTAACTCAACTGACCTCTTAACACACGCATTAACAAAATCATCAATAATATCCTTAAATTTTTATTCTTTCATAACCTACAAAGCCGCATAAGTAGTTCCATTAGGTGTTGTAACTGCATTTTTTAAATCTTCTGGACTCCCGAATTTTCTATCTAGCATAGTAGCTGCTCCTAATACAGTTTAAACAGCTAAGCCTAATGCAATTTCTTTTTCTAAACCTTATTTAATACCTGCATCTACAATTCCTTATATAAATTCATATACATAAGCCGGCCCACTTCCACTAATTCCGCAAACAGCATCCATTAAATGTTCTTCAACTTTATATAATTTCCCAATTGTATTAAATATATTTTTGCAGATTTCCTCATCTTCTTAGTTACAACCTGGGCCCATCGAATATGCAGAAGCTCCGAGCATTACAGTCACAGGAGTATTCGGAAGTACTCGAATAATTTTTTTATGAGAGAAATTTTTAAATAGAGTTTCCAATTTATATCCTGCTGCTAAAGAAATAATTAATTTTTAAGAACAAAAGGGAGCTATTTCTTTACTTAAATCAGATATTTAAAATGGCTTAGTGCAAATTATTATTGCTTGGGAATTTTCGATTGCAATTTTATTTTCTAGATATTATACGTTTTAGATTCCTGTGAGTTTCTAGTAGTTTTATACTGTTTATTATGTACGAGCTGTCGCGTAAAATTACTCAGGAAAAAAACTGCCGCTATTTAATAGGCCTAAAGATATAGCAGTTGCTATTTTACCAGCACCTATAAAGGCGATTTTAGTATTCATTTTTTTTTATAAATTTTTTATTATTTTAAAAAATATTTTATTTTGTAAATATTTTTTAAAATTAATAATTATTTATGTTATTATTATAAAAATGCATTTTTTATTTTCGTTAATTATTTTTTTAATTTCTAATAAATTTGAATAAAATTATTTAAATTTTTAAAAATTTTGCTATCCATAAATGGAAAATAAAAATTTCTATTTTTAATTTTATAAATAAATTAAAAAGAATAATAAATTTTAAAATAAATCTTAAAATTAAAAAGAATTATAACAAACAGTATTATAATAAAAAAATAATATATAATATTAATATTTATTAAATTAATTGTAGATTAATATTTGTGTTTTTATATAATATATTATTTATTATATTTCTTTTTATTAAATATTGTTTATTTTATATTGATTTTAGATTACTAATGATATCTTTGCAAGATTAATATAATAAAAAAACTATTATATATATTGTAGTTTAAGAAGTTTAATATTTAAATATTTTTATTGATTATAATAAACTATTTTAAATTTTTATTAATTAGAAAATAAAGTTTAAATTTAAACGTAAACTATTTTCATTCATTAATTAAAAATCATATTTTTAAAAAAATATATTTTGAAAAATTAAATTATTACTGATTTAAATTTTTATAATATATATACTCTTTTATATTAACTTATTATTTTAAATATTTAAAAATAATTAATTATAATATCAAATTTTCATAACTTTAAAATATTATTTATTTTATTTATTATATAAAAAATGTTTATATTTTAGTTAATTTTAATTAAATTATATTTTTTTTATAAATTTATAGATATCCGAAAATAAAATTATTTAATTTAAAAAATTAATCTATTTATTTTTATTCTATACAATGAAATAAAAAATAATTAAAATTATTATATTCAATTTTTTTATTTCTTATACTTTTGAAGGATATTTAACTATTTTTTTTTATAGAATTAACGATAAATGTTAAAACTATAATATTAATTTAATTAAAAAAACTATATAAAAAAATTTATAAAATGCTTTATAGATGAAAAAATACCAAATACATATGTAAATGTATTGGAACAGACTCAAGTGCATTCGAATGTATATTTATGTCAATAAATAAAAAATTAATATTACATGTTATTAAATAAATATTTATCTAAATCTTAAAAGTTAAACAGTTGGTATAATTGGATTAAGTTAATGTTGAATTATTGAATAAGGTGATCTTTGGGAGGATATTAAGCTGTTTTTATCTATTTTGGGCTCCTAAATAGAATTTACTAGTATTTCTAAATGCTATAGTGGTATATGGTAAAATATAATACTTTCTTGCTTAAATATTTATTTATAATAAATTAATTTAAGATTTTGCTCACCAGCTGATTATTTTAGAATTCCTTTAAATTTTAATAGATATATTTAAAAATTTGCTTTAATACATTATTAAAATAATGAAAAAAATATAAATATAAACTGAAAAAATCTTTTCCTAATTAGAATTTTTGTAATAGACTAAACTTTTAAAATATGAAATTATAAACCTAAAGAAAGTGCTTCATTTTTTTTTATGAAGATTTTATTATTCTTGATATGAAAAATTAATAAATTTATAAATAAAATTTAGTTGGATTAAAAAATATATAAAAATAAATTTTAATGTATTACTTACTATTAATGAAATATGATTAAAACATAATAAAGAAGATATTATTAATCATTTTTTACGAGATTTTTAGTAAAAATATTATTATTTTAAATATTAATAATTTTTAACTAATATAAGTGGAATATTTTTGTTTAAAGTAATATTCTATTTAAGTTTAATATAATTTTTAAAAATAAAATACCATTTTAATTTATTTTATATAAATAAATTATTAAAATATTTAAATATAAAAATAATTATTAAATATGTAAAAATTTAAAAATATATTTTAATAAATAAAATAACTAAATAATATATATAAATATAAAAAAAATATATATAAATAAATTTAAATTAATATTTTAAATGGAAAATAAATAGTAAGATTTATAATAAAATCTATTAGAAAAATAACATAAAATTTCCTCATTTACAGCTTTTAACACAGCATTTAATGTCCTATTAGGGACTGGTCCAATATTTGTACCTCCTGTATTTTAATAACCTGGTATTTTTCTAGCCATTTTATTTATATTATTTGTTGGTTTAATGAGTTTTGTGTGTGCAGAATATGTAATAGAAACTATGTCATTATTAACAGCAATAAAAAGAAAAGATTAAAAAAGCTTTTTAAAATCGTAAGACTCATAAAATAATAACACTAATGCAATAAATGCAAATATTTTAATCTCAAAAATCTAATCAAAAACAGAAGAAAGTTAATTATTATAAGAATATATATAAGTTTAGTCTTATATGGAATTCGAATTTTAAGAACCGATAGAATATGGACAAATGGGTTAATTGATATTTGGGAAATGGGGAAATATATGTGCAACTGCTGCATTAGTTATATATTTAGTAGGAGTTATGATTTCAAAAACAATAGCTACAGGATCTGTTTTAGCAAACACTTTTTCAGAAGTGAGAATTTTAAATGAAAGTAAATTTTGGATAATATTATTTTTTTCTATTTCAATAATATTCTCTTTCTCTAATGTAGCAAAAACAAAAATATTATAAAATATAATAATGGCTGTTCGTTTTATTACAATAGTTTCACTTTTTTTAGGCGCTTTTTTTTAAGCTTAAAAGCATGGATATCATAAACTAAATGAAGGAAACGATATTATTTTTGATATAAATAATTTCAACAGTTTCTTTTCCAACCTTTAATTTGGCTTCTTAATGCACCATTCAATACCTTCAATGTTTTCTCCTGTAAAAAATTAAAGAGATATCAAAAAAATACATATGATAGCTTTTGGATTAGGAACTTTTATTTTTATTTTCATTTCACTTACTTCAGTTATGGCTTTTGGCAAATGCTTAAATTCTTCAAATTAATTTGAAAATTTTTGTAGTGAAAATAATTTGAGGACTGGAGATAGTTATTATAATAATTATTTCAAAGAAGATTTGAAACCTATATTCTATATTGCTAGTTTTTATATTTTCCTTAATATAGCTGCTTTTCCTGTACTTACAATTACAACAAGAAATAATCTAATGAAATTATTAGCAAAAAAGAAAATCCCAGAAAAATCTTACGAAATTACAAAATGGACTTTTTTATTTACAATTATTATTGTTTCGCCGATTATTACGGTATCTCTTATTACTAAAAATATTTAACTTGTTTTAGATTTTACAGGAGGAGTTTTCGGAAGTTTACTGATGGTTATTTTCCCATCTCTTTTTGTTATTTTTGTAAGAAGAAAAGCTAATGAAATAGGAATTTAGTATAAATAAAACCCACATAAATGCTATTTTGATAATTTGCTTTTACCCTATGGACTTATTTGCATTGGAATTTTTTTTTTAACGTACGGCTTAATTAAAAGTATATAGAAAAATATATGAAATTTTAGTTTAAATAATATGTATCTATTTGTTTTATTTAAAAAAATAAAATATTTATTTTATTTTAGCAAAAATTAAATTTAATAAAAATAGACCAAAAAAAATAACTAAGATAATAAAAATTATTTATATAAATTTAATAAAAGGAATGCTTTATAATTCTTAGCAAACGTATTCAATATCAATACTTTAATATGTATTAATTTAGGAATTATAATTAATATATATAAATTAAAAATATTTACATATATTAATATAGTTTTAATAGAAATATTATATTTTCATAATTATATTTGTAATAGGATTATATATTTATCTCTTTCATTAATTATCTAATTGAAATTGTTAAATTATCAAAATAATATTTTATATATATATTTGAATTAGAAAATTTTTAATTACATTTTAAAACGAAAAATGATTTGAAGAAAATTTTTTAATAATTTATCCTATATATAAGAAACAGCTTTATTTGCAATATATTTTTCATTTTGTTTTTTAGACATAATATAACTCATTAACTATAAAAATTTAAGCTAATTATTTATTTTTAGTCGAAAGAAATTTTTAATATTTTATGTTTATTTACCATAAAATAATTTAATATAAAAAAAGTAATAAAAAGATTCCACAAGAAAAAAATCATTAATATATAAAATAAATTATTTCCAAACCTTTATTGATAATATTGAATTTAGATTAATTTTTACGATATGACTAATATAATAATTGGTATGTATTCTAAAAACTATATAACATCAAATATGAATTTTTAAAATAGTGACTGTTTTAAATGAAATTTTGCAGGAAAATTGTATTTGGAGAAAACTTTTATTAAGTAATTTTTTTAGATAAAAAAAGAAATTTAACATTTCAAAATAAATAAAGCACAGAAAAATTAACAAATTAAATTTACTATAGCAACAATCATGTTTAATTTCCTTATCTTATATCTAAAAATAGAATATTATAGATTTTTTTTAAAGATATAATATGTATATTTTCAAGATTTTATATATAAGAAACAAGAATTATTAAATATTTACACTAATAATATTTTAATTTAATCATTACATTATATACTTAAGTTTATTTTTAGATTTTTTTAATTTATTTTTTATTCAAAATTCTTTTTTTATATTATTTATTATTTTTTAAAAATAAGATATAATTACTATACTGTGTTTTAAAAAGGACTTATGAAGACAATATCATTCTTGGAGAGTTTGGACAACTTTCTGTTCTTTAAAATTATTAATTATTCTTTATAGTTATATTTAAAAAAATAAATATAATTAAAAATAAATTATATTTTGTGCCTTAGTATGTAAAATATTAGTTTATTATTATTATTATTAATTATAACTATTTTTTAGTTAAATTAATATAATTTAAATTAATTTTTATTTAAACCTTCTCTTTAAGTTTAATTTTCCATTTAATTAGGCTTATTAAATCCTTTTTATTTTTTAAAATTATTTTTAAATATTTTTTTTTTAGTAATATAAAATTAATAAAAAATGTTTTATTTCTATAAAAAGAAATTACAATATATTTATCCTAAAAATAGACAATTATAAATAATCAAAAAAAAAAAATATATTTATATAAAATAAGAAAATATTTATTTTTTACTTTTTATTAACTTAAATAAAATTCTTAGCTCTTATTTTAATTTAATTTGTATTCGAATAAAAATTACTTTCAGTTGAATTAAACTAGATTTTTTTTTTTGATTAATTTAAATTACTATTATCATTAAAATACTATTTTTTAATTTAATTTTATTATTAAAAGTAAATATAAGATTTATTTTTTTAATATTTTTCTGTCTATTTATAGTTTTTAATTTTATTAAATAAAGAATCTTATGGCATATCATCAGAATTATAATTCTTCGAATATTAAAAAACACTATTATTATTAGTATTATCTGTATTTTATTCAGACTCTTCTGATTTTGATTCTTAAATGCAATACAAATCAAAAGACTAATATAATCTCAAATTGCGATTATTGTTCTTTTTATTAATTTATTATTTTAACATATTATTTTTTTCAATTAAGTTTTTTTAAAAGGTGACTTTTATTATTTTTAAATTATTTAATTTTACATTAAATAATCAAAATTCTATTATAGTTCTTGTAAATATTTTAACTTTTACTATTAAATTAAAGACATAGTTGATAAGTTTGTATTTTATTTTTAATTTTTTTATATAACTAATTCTTATACAACTTACTGCTTTTTTATTAATTCAACTTTATTATTATATTTTTAGTCATTAGAAATTTTAATTAATTAAGTAATTTCATTTTTCTTTATTTTATTCTAATTTTGAAGATCACTAGAATATAAATTTATATGTATTTTTTCAGTATCTTAAACTTTATATTTTTGTTTTTTAATTTATTTCATTTGCTTTATAAATTGTATATTTACTTTAATATTATTCCTTAATAAAAAATGGCTATTTTTAAATATTAATACTATAAAATTTTTTGTTTTATTAATTTTTTTTCATTTTTTTTTTATAAATTTTTATAAAATAAAAATGCTATTAAAAAAATAAATATGTAATTAAATTTTATTAAAATAAATAATATTTTTACAATAATAATTTTTATAATAGAAAATCATAAATTTGCCTAAATCTAATACTTAGAAACCCATTCAAAAAATTATTTATGTACTTCTTTAACCTCTTAAATATTTCCAATAGTTTCCATCCACTTTAAAATTCTAGGATATTTTCCATAATCAAAACTTACTAAATACAACTAAACCAATTCACAATAACACGATAAATCGGCTACAGTAGGTTCATCGTTTGAAGCAATAAATTAATTATTAACTAAAAAAACATTTTCAATAATATCTAATGCAATAAACATTTCTTTTTAATTAATTCAATATTCTATTTAGACTTAAGGCCTAACATAGGCAAAATATATGCATTAAACAGTAAATTTCCGGCTCTCCTTGTACCATTATGGTGCCAATCTAAATATTAATCAACAATTGCCCTATTAATAGAATTTAAAGGATACCATTTATTATTAACTCCTTTTTTACTACTTAAATATCTCACAATAGCATGACTTTCATATAAAATAAAATTCCCATCTTTTATAACTGGGACTTACATTTTAGGATTCATTTTTCTAAATTCAGGTTTACGTACATCTCCTTTCAAAACACTTGTGGAAATTACTTCATAAGGAATTTTATTTAATTTGCAATATAATAATATAAAACGTGAAGGTTAAGAAGTCAAATCTATATATAATAAGACTTTATTATTATTATTTTCCATATTTAATAAATATTTTTATAAAAATATCTTTATTATATAAAATATATATAAACATATATAAAAAATGGATATATATATATATATATATATTATATATATTTTTATATATTTATATATATTTATATATATATTTATTCAAATAATTGAAGATTATTTTTTTAAAGCAGATTTAATTGCGTATTTTTTTTCAGGCGAATTAATTTTTCTATAATATGAACTATTTTATTTTTATAATTTAAGTTAATTTTATATTTGATTTTCACTTTAATATAAAAATTCTTTTGGTCTAATCTACTATCCATTATCATAAAGGAATTAATTTAGTTATTCAAAAGGCATATTCGGGTCAAATTCAATAAAATATTCTTCTTCCTCTTTTCTTTTGACCACAAAAGATCTATCTATAGCATGAACATCATTCATTAATTCAAGTTAATCACAATTAATAACATTAAAATAAGGCGTAACTAAATAGTCTCTTTAATGTTGTATTAAAACTAGTCTTCTATCCATAATATTATTAATTGGTAAAATTCCGGCAGTATCAGTTGGGACCATTTCAATTTCAATTAATTCTATAGGTCTAGTTTCTCTCCATATTTTAGGCTTTAAATAATAAGGGTGCTTTATATGTCTATTTATATATAACTATTGTTTTATTTCTTCATCGTTTTCTTAATTTTATTTTTTAATACACTTTACTTTTGAAATTTCTTATTCTAGTTTTTATTTTTTATTAATTTCGTTTTTTTCATAAATTATTTAATTTATATTTTTTTCGGTTGTTTTTTTCATTTCTTTTTCTTATACTTCTTCATTTTTTTGAAAATTTTCTTTTTGGCTTTCATTTTTTTATTCTTTTTGTATTTCCTCTTATATATTTTTTATTCTCTATACTTATTCTTCATATTTATTCTTTTCTTTATTATGTTTAAATTACGAAAGCATTTTCAATAGTTTTTTTTTATATTCAAAATAACTTTTGCCGTATAAAACGGACTAGTCATTATCAGAATTTTTTCTTAAAAATTTCATAAATTAAGCTAATAAATATTCACTATCATGTATATCTGTGGGATCAATCCTTTGAAATTTATCTGGGTTAATCTATAAATCTTCATTATAATCAACTTAATATTATTTAGGGTTTAGTTTTGGAATATAAGGGGATATATATTTTGATTCCCATCGAGTAGGTTTCTGTTTATCTTCTTCTTTTTATTTCTTTTTTTTTTTAATTTAAATTTCTTTTTAAACTTCCAACGCTTTATTAGTTAAATCTTCCATTTATAAAAAATATTACTTAAATATTATTTTATAAAATATATAAATTATTATTTAAAGAACGAAAAAAGTTTTTATTTAAAAAAAAATACAAATAATATTTATATTAATTAAATTTCATCATTTATTTTTCATATTATTCGCAATTTGACTAATTTTCGCTAAATATCCTGAAATCTAAACAAAAGTAGGTAAACCTTCTAAAACCTTCATTTTTAGAAAAGCCATTTCTCTCAAAAATTCATACTAAAGATTCTTCTCAATAGGCAAATTAAATACTAATTTATACAAATTATTAACTAAATCGTACGCAGTATAGCCTTCTTCCCACAAAGGATAAACTTTCAATTATGCTGAATGAAAGTTTCCATTAGAACATTCCAAAAGAGCCTATTATAACATTTCTATATTCGGCACATCACATACTTTAAATACATTTTCTCTATTTAAAAACCCAAAAGCAGTAAAAGTAGCCTATAAATTATTTATAGCTTATCTCATGTCCCCTTCTGTTGTGAATAAAAGAGCTTCAAGACCACTTTTGTCGAACGGGATATTTTCTAATTTTATTATTTCTTGAATTCTATTAAGAACTTAAGCATCGTTTAATTTTGTAAATCTTAAAATTGCACATCGACTCTATATAGCATCTATTAGCTTAGAACTGTCGTTACAACTTAACATAAAGCGGGTAGTGTCTGCATAATCACTAATAATCATTCGAAGTGCTTACTAAGCGCCTTCAGTAAGAGAATCTGCTTCATCGAGAATAATTATTTTATGTAATCCGGGCCTTAAATTAGCCTTTTTTTGAGCAAAACTCTTTATTTTGTCACGAACTACATCTATCCCTCTCTCGTCTGAGGCGTTTAATTCTAAACAACATGAAGAGATTAAATCTCCTAATAGTGTTTTAGCTAAGCAGAGTACTGAACTTGTTTTTCCAATGCCAGGTGGGCCAACTTTTTATTTTAAATTTTTAATATTTAAAAAAATTTATTAAAACCTAAAATCATATTAGGTATGTTGCCTTCTTTAGAAATTGTACGAAGTTTAATTAATGCATCTTCGTTACCTTAAATATCTTCTAATGTTTTAGGACGATATCTGTTTGAATTATATATTTTTTAAAAAATTATATAAAATTACTTTTCTAACCAAATTTATTAGTCCATATTTTTTTGTTTAATATTATATAATACAAATATTAGCGCGAATAATAAAATATATGAATAAATATATAAAATATAAATATATAAGTAAAAAAGTATATAAATATATAAATATAAAAATATATTTATTTATATATATATAAATATATAAATATATAAATATATAAATATATATAAATATTTATTTATTTATTTTTATAATTTTTTTAAATTTTATTTACTTACTTAAAAAATTTTTTTTTTGTATTTATATTTTAATTTAATTATTTATAAAATTTAAAAATTTTTACATATAATTAAGTAATTTTACTTTAAATATTTTTTTATATTTTTATAATTATTAATAATTTTTAACTTTCTACTATTTTTTAATTTAATATTTAAATATATTTATAAAAAATGTTAATTAATATTGTCATTAATATTTAATTAATTTTTAATAAATTTTTTTTAATTTTTATATTATTTTTTTTTTTTTTTTTTAAACTTTTAAAATATTAATTAATTCTAGTATATATATTAAATTTATTTATTTTATTAATAAAAGTTTTTAATAAATTAATAAAATTTTATCAATGTATTTGATAAATATTCAAATTATAATATTAAGATTTTAATAAATTTTATATATATTTAAATTAATTTGATATTGTAAATTTCAGAAAATAACTTTTATTCTTTTTAAATAAGTTTTTTTTTTTTATTTTCAAAAATATATATTAATTTAAGTAATATTAATAAGACGATAAATCAATAAAAAATATTCTTAATTGAAATTTATAAATAAAATTAATTCAATTTTAAATATTTTTTTATTTTTTTTATTATTATTAAAAAAATAGAGATATATAATTTATTAAATAAACTAATTTTATTTGAATTTTTATATTAATTTTATTTCTTTATATTTTTATTAACAAAATTAATAAAATAAGCATACCCTGTTAATTAAAAATATAAAAAAATGTTTTGGAAATTTATTTAAAATTAAATTGGACATATAATTTAATAAGAAAATACATAGGAAGATCATGAGTTACCTCCAAACTTTATAAAAAAAATGAAAGAATTAGAAGAGTATATATAAAAAACTTAATATCCACATATATAATAAATTCAACAATTAATAAAACTATACAACGAAGCTGTTGAATATTACGATTTCGACCAAGAAGGGAAATACTTAATATATAAGAATAAAATACTGGAGTTATATGAAAAATAAAACGTAATGGATGCCTTTGCTAAATTAGAATAGGAAAAAAATTTAATTTCCACAATATGTAAATAAAAGTTCTAAGAAAAAAACGAAGTAATAATAGCAAATGATTAATAAAATATTCAAACAGTTTGCGTTAATGAAAATATAAAAAAATTTAAACTTAAAAGTTAAATACTTTTAAAGAAAAAGCAACATTAGTGATTACAGATGATGATATAAATAAAATAATTGATAGTTAAGATAATAATGTAATTGAATAATAAATTATTATTGAAAAAGATTTAAAAAAATAGCATAATAATATTATTAGTAGATTAAATAAAAGACATAAAATTAATACCAAAAGAAATAAACGAATATTCTAACCCTTAATTATAATGCGAAAATATAAAAATCGAAAATAATTTTTTTTCTAATTATAAATAAAAATTTAATATTGGAGAGGAATTAAAATAAGATAATATTATATATTAATTAGTTTAGGAATAAATAAATCTTTTTTTGGAATAATATAAAATTTAAAAAGAAAAAATTAAATTTGAATTTGAAAAGAAAATGTTTTATGCTTAAAAAATAATAATGAAGATAATCGTATATAAATATTTTATATAAATTGTATTTGTATATTTTTTTTATTTATTTTTTTATATTAAAATTTAAAGATTAATAAGAAACAATTATTAATATTTAGTAAGAATAAATAGAAAATATAAAAAAATTAGATAAAGAATTTAAAAATAAAATAAAAATAAAAATAGAATAAATCAAATAATAATTTGAGGATAAATAAAAATAATGATTTTATTTTATGTATATATTTTAATTTTTTATTATTGATAAAATTTAGTAATATATAAATTAATTTATATTATAATATTAATTTTCGTTGTATAAATATTATTTTTGATATTATATAAAACAAAAAAACAAAAAAATATTTTTTAAAATAAATAATTTTCATTCAAATTAATAAATATAAAATCAAATTTTCATAAAAAAAATAATTTATTTTATTAAATATTTTGTATTTAAAAAAAATAAAAAAAAAAAAAATAACATAAGATAACATATTTATCTAAGAAATTAAAATTTATATTTTCATATAAAAAATAAAAAAATTATAAAACGATATAAAAACGCCTAAAATATAATAAAAAAGCTAATAAAAAATAAATTAAATAAATAAACAAATAAAATAAAAAAATGAAAAAATCATAAATATTAATTTTATTATTAGTATTAGTATTAGTTAGCATCTCAGCAAAACATTTAAAACACAAAAAAATCAAAAATTAACTAGTATTCTCATAATAATAATCAAATTTAGACGACCTAACGATTATGTAAGCCATAAATTACTAACCTCCTAATTTCGTTGACAAATAAGAATAATGTTAATAAGTATAAATAGCATATGATAGAGTTAAATTTTGGTAACATTTTTTAAAACACGATCCTGAAGGAAACCTTTAAAACTAGATTAAAGCTTTAGGAGAAGCTAAAGAATTACTTTTAATGGTAAAAGAACTTATTTAAAATAAATAAGACTAAAATGTAGTAAGCTTAATTTAAATGAAAGATGCTTCTTTAAAACCTAATGGTTTAATTCCTTCTAACTTATAAAATAAAATGGTAGAAATTAACATTTCTCAATCTAATAATGATTAAGAAAAAACTTTAAGAAAAATTGAAGAAGCAATTATTCTTATTGATGAATTGAAATCTGAATATAACTAGATGTATAATGATAGTTAAAATTTCCCTACTTATGCTGAATTATTAAAAATAAAGAATGAATAACTTAAAAATAATCTTGAATAGTGCGAAAAATGATTAATTAAATATTTTATATTATATTTAGTTCTATTTTTAGATTTTTATTATTATAAATTAAAAATGAAAGTAAATTAACATTAATTTATATAATTTTTTATTTTTTATTTTTATTATTGAAAACATAATAAAAAAAAGTATGTTTTTTAAAACTAATATTTTTTTATAATTTTTTTTTTAAATAAATAAAATTTTATAAACACAAATTAAAATAATTATATTTACATATCTATATATTTTTTTATTCCTCTAAAAAAAATTCATAATTTAAATTTATAAGCTTTGTCACATTTAAATATACCCGTCAACATTTAATTTAATTTTAAACCTTTTTAATATATAAAACTATTACTGGACAAAAGTATTTTATTTAAGCATTATAATACGCATTCATTAAAATATAATACATAGAGCCTTGTATTATATTATATTTTATATTATATTTTAGTTTATATATTTAAAAAAAAATACATATTATTAAATTATAAACTTTATATTATTTGAATAGCATGTTTGTATATAAATAATAATATTTGTAAATATTTTCTTTTTTTTAAATAAAAAATAAAAATGAAAATGAAAATATATTATATAATAAATTTTTAAAGAAATCTAAATAATGTATATATTGAAAATAAAAAATATAAATATAATAATTATTTATATATTAAGTCATATTACATTGGAATTATTTATATTTTTATATTAATATAAATAATTTTATTAGTTATATTTATCATTAATAACCTTTTATATATCAACCATATTTATATTAAAGTTTTGCAATTTTTATGAATTTTATTAAATCTTCCTTAAAATAATTTAATTTGTACTCATATTATGAGGATGATTAAACTTTTGTTTATTTGCTAAATATTTTTCACTCATATTATTTTAATTTAATTAATTAAAACTATTCAAATAATTTTAACTATCTTAAATTTTTTAAATCTTCTTAAAACTAAGAATAAATAAATAAATATTTATATTTATTATATAATTAACTATTTTTAGTGTTATAATTTTAAAGGTTTAGGCTAATATTATTATTAAACAATATTTTTGATTGTAGTAGATTAACTTTCTTATAATTCATCATTTAATAAAATTTGTTCAATAGATGAAATTTAATTAAATTTATTATTAAGTAATAAACTAAATTATTTTTATTATTTTTAAACAGCATTTATTTTTATTAATTATAATTTAGGTTTGAAATAATATTTAACATCGTTTTAAGGAAATTGTAAAATATTTTTTAAATCTTATTATATTTTTGGTAATTAATCTTTCTTTTTTTTACTATTTTTTTCAGGAAATAATAAATTAATATGTTTATTATTTATAAATGAAGCTTAAGAACAATATTTTAAAATATTACCTTTATATATATGTAAATAAATATACAAAAAAAAAAATTATACCTATTTTAGGTCTTTCTTGTGGATTTAATTTAATCATATTTTCAATTAAAAATGTAAAACTTTTATTTTAACATTCTATTTTATCAAAATTTCCTTTTTATATTTTTGATTAAAGTTTTTAAAAATCTTCAGACCAAAAAGCTGGTTTTTAATTAATTATTTCATATAATACACATCCAAAACTCCATATATCACCACTTTAAGTAATTATATGGCGAAAAGACTCAGGACTTAAAATTTAATTAATTGTTTTGTATAAATATGTTATTACCTTTTAGAATAAGGAATTGTATCAAATATTTATTAATTTTACTCACAAAATAAATATTAAATCCCTATATCTCCAATTAAGATAGAATTATTTTTTATATAAATATTAGAAGCCTATTAAAATAAATTAATACTCTTTTATATATATATTTTTTTACTTTAAAATTAGTATGACAAATACCATTTTCATGTAAAATCTTCAGCCCAATAGATATCTTTTTATAATAAATTACAATACATATTTAAAATACGGTTTTATATAATAATTTTTTTACTTAATAAATTAATTTCCATATTTCATAATCTTAAAATACTTATTTTTATTTTTATCTTGATATAATTTATTCATATAAGCTCCCTTCTTTATAATATTCAGTTACTATTCTATAAAAATAGAATAAAATAAAATCAATTAACTCAAATATTTATTTTAGTAAATTTTATACACAAAATGAGTTTTTTCATTATTATAGGCAGATTTGACAATTTTACAAATATATTAATTATTTATATTATTTAATTTATCTAAAATATCCAAATATTTTTTTAAATTTTTTTCACTTATTCCTGCTATATAAATAAGCTTAACATATAAATCTATTTCCTTTTCATTATCATATACTTAACATGTACATGTGATTTTTTTTTAACCTATTAATTATTAAATAAAAATATTTTAGTATAATTTTAACCTAACTGTTTAATAAATTAATATTGAGGAAATAATTTTTAGATAAATTCTTTCATTGAATTTTTTTTTTTATTTTAAAGACTTTATTTTAAATAAAAATATAATTATTATTATAAATTAACGACCAATAAATAAATTAAAATTATTATTCTGTTTATATTAAAAATGATAATAAAATTTAATATAATTTTTTATAATATAATCTAAAAGATTTTTTATTTTTATTAAAAAATTTTATAACATATTTTATTAAGTAAAAAAGAATAAAATGGAATAGCAATATTTTTGCTGTAACTAGATTATTAATAATTAATAATTATTTGGTCATTTAAAGCACGAATATTTCACATTTAATCTCAAATTTTTGAATATAAATTCTTTTTAAAATAATTTAAGCATTTAAAATTTAATATAACCCTAATAAATTTTGCAATTAACTTTAAATTTATCAATGTAAAAACTAGGTGCTTAAGAATTAGATAAAATTTAATTAAAAAACTACATAAATATTTCAAAATTAGATTTAAATTTATCATTTAATAGCTTATGTGACTCAGGTTATGAAAAGTTAAAAGAATAGCTATAATATTTAACTCAAATAAAAAAATTAAATTTAAATTTAGAAAAAAACTTTTTTATTAATAAATCATTTAGCATTTTTATAATATTTTAAAATTTTTAGTAATTAAGAACTATAAAAATTAATTTGAACGAGAATAATTTTGACTTATCTTATGATTTCGAATATTTTAGAACATAAGAAATTATGAATTCAGATTAATTTTCTAAAATAGAAAATTTTAAAATTAAATTTAATGAAAATAGTGACTATTCGAAATCTAATGACAAATTAAAATTATATTTGTTTGAATTAATCTTCTTAAAAAATAATAATTTAAGGAAAGCATCAATTAATATTCCATGGGAAAAATTCGATACACTTTTTACTAATAAAATAAGTGAATTATTAAAAGATAAAAAATTACAAAAACTATCTTTTGTAGCTTAAAAACCATAATTTTAATTATAAAAAATAAATTTATCCAGTTTACATGAATTATTAGATTAGTAAAAAAGTTTACAGAAGTTAAAAATAGACATCTAAAATTGCATTTAAGAATCTTCTAATTTTTTTAATAAAAGTTTAAATTTTTTAAATAATTTAAAGACTTTAAAAATTAATTTTGGATTTTCTTTTATTGTTTAAAATTCTTTATAACTAAATCAATCTTTTTTAAAGGATTTAGTCTAGTTTTTAGAAATAAATAAACCAAATTTAACAAAAATACATTTAAATTTGTAAAGATCAAATATCAAATTTTTAGATTTAAATTAGCCGCAAATATAAGAACTTTAGTTAAATTTAGAACACTGTAAATTTTTTTAAGAAAATCATTTTTTTTAAAGTCTATTATCTTACAAAAACATTAAAAATATTTCTTTAAATCTAGTTGGTATCTAAAATATATAATTTAAATAATTATGGGGGTTATTATTATAAAATAAGAACATTTTAAGAAATTTAAAGTTATAATATAATTTAAATTGTGATTAAAAAATCTAATTGAAAGAAACAATTAAGTAAATGGAAAATACTACTAACTTTACAATTATATCGAAAAACTTTAATAATGCTTAATGCAGAAATTATTAATAATAAAAAATTTTAGTATTGTATATTTTAGAATTTATAAAAAAATTGGTTTTAATAAAATACTTAAAAGAAATATAATAATTGAAATGATTTAATTTCAATATTGTATTAAGAAAAAATGATAATTTATTAAAAAAAGATATTTAAACTTAAAATAAATACTAATTTATTTCATATAAAAATTATAAAATGATTTTTATAATATATAATATATAATTTATGTTTACATATTAAAAATTAATTATTATTTTTTTAAAAAAAAAATTATATAAAAATTTTAATTTAGAAAAAATCTTTAATTATATTAGAGAAATAATAATATATATAAATCTTATATAATAATTTTGATATAAAATTAAAAAATATTTATAAAAATTTCTAAGATAAAGGTAAAGGGTAAGAACAAGATATACTTATTATATAATTTTAAAATATTACTAATAAAAGAATAAAATATAAAAAAATGTATTATAAATTATTATTTATATTTAGAAAAAAAAATATATATATAAATTGATATAATGTCAATTTTTATTATTAAAAATTTAATTTATAATACATAAAATCAATATAATAAATATATATTAAATTTAATTATACATGTATTATTTTTGTTAAAATATATATATATATATATATATATATATATATATATATATATATATATATATTAATATATTAATATATTAATATATTAATATATTAATATATTTAAAAAATTCCCCAACCGGGAATTGAACCCGGACCTCAAAATAGATAACTTGTATCCTAACTAATTAGACTATTGGGGAGAATTCGTAATTTATGAATATGCATAGATATGTATTAAATAATAAAATAAGTGTTAAATATAAATTAAATTTAATAAGAATATAATAAATAAAATATTATAATAAAAAAATAAATTTAATTTGATTTAATATATATTTTTTTTTTAAATTAATACACATATATATATAAATATATATATATATATATATATATTTACTATATTGTAAATATTAATAATAATTTCTAATTTTATATAATTTAAAATAATTTATAATTCAATATACATAAAAAATAATATTATAGTTTAAAATTTAATTTAATTAAAATTAAATATTTATTATTGTAAATATATATAAATTTTACTAAAAAATGATATTTTTCATTTTAAATTACTAAATTATTATTTTTTATTTGAGTTTTATTTTTTAAATAATAATTATTTTTTTCTATACTTTTTAATTTTTTAAAAATTTAATTATATTTTTATTTTTACTTGAAAAAATTATGAATGTGTTTAAAACTTATCACTTTTATCATATGATTAATTATAAAAACTATCCATATTTTTTTTCATAAACTTTTCTTTTTATGTCTCTAAATCATTTATTTATTAATTCATTAAATATTAGTTTATATTTTTTGTATTTTTTTATTTTTGCTTTAATATTTTTTTGATAATAAAAATAAAATTAATTATGTATATTTATAAAAAACTCTATAATTAATAGATTAATCATATATCTTGCTAATTTTATTTCCGAACTCACTATCTTATTAATTAGATGTTTTTTAATTTTATGAATTTTAGCTTTTATTTAAATTTGTAAATTTAATTTATCTTTAACTTTAACTTTATTTTATAATTGATTAAACTTTATTAAAAAGTTTAATAGGATTTTTATCAATTAAAATATCTAAATTTTAATTATTTTTTTCAGAAAAGAATTACTTTTAAGAATCATTTTACTTAGAATTATTAATAGTTTAATCAAAATTAATTTTTAAATCTTAATTATGACTATTACATTTTTATCTTCCCGAATAATATTTAATTTTATATTTAATTTAACTATAACTTTTCGAAAAAGATAAATTACTTAACATAGATTATAATTTTTAATTGTTATTTTTATTAAAAAAATAGGAATTATAATATTATTATTATCCTGATTAAGAAACATTTCTAATAAATTTATTTTTTTAATTATTTTCTTTTTCTTATTATATTGAAACTGAATTTTTAACTTTTTTTTTTTTTATTTAAGCATGAAAATAAATAAAAATAAAAAAACCATTATTATTATTATAATTATTTGAAAAAGCATCAAAAGAATTTATATATGACTTTTAATTTAATTTCGACTATTTTATATTTTCTAATTATTATTCATTTAGCTGAAAACTATTGTATTCTTAGCTATAAATCCGATATGTTTTTTAGAATTATTACTATATATTTTATAACTTTATTTTATTAATAAATAAGATAATGTTATATTATAATCTTTTACTTTCTTCTTTAAATTTTTATAATCATTATAAGGAAGTTAATATTCTTTATCCATTATATATTGTTATTATTTTAAAAATTCTAATTTTTCATCGTAATCTTCCTAATATTCATTAATCCTTTTATTAAATATTTTTATAAATTTTTCGTCATTTTCATTATTTTTTTTTAATTTATCCTTAAAATCTGTTTAAAAAAATTTACCAAGATTATATTTTCTTTATCCTAATTGCCATCCCTTTATTTAATAATTATTATAAAAAATATAATATTTATAATTAATTTTTAACATTAATTAAAAAATCCTTTTAAATTAAAGGGATAAGAACTCTAAAATTAGTAGGCCCTTCCAGTTTTTTTGTAGTATCATATTTACAAGATTATTTTTTACTAAAATTAAGTGCTAATCGTTTACTACATCCATTATTTCTTAACTTTAAGTATATTAATGCTTAATTCTAATTTATTGTTTATATTCTTTTGTCTTCTATTTTATTACAAGGTGGAAAAATAAGCAAGTTATTATTAGAATTTTATCTTAGAAACATAAAATATTGAAAGAAAATAATAATAATATCTATTTACTTTTTATAAATTTAATTGTCTATTTATGAAATATTTTTGCTAAAAATATTTGTAAAATGAAAAAAAATATTATTAAAATAATAATATAAGCTTATAGTGAAAAATTAATTAATATAATCATATTACAAAACTAAATTAAAATAAGTTAAGTAAAAAAAGTTAATGAAATTAAAGAATTAAATTGAAGTTTTAAATTAAATTTAATATATAATATTAAAGATTATGGGTTAAAAATATATTATAATAAGCACTAATTTTATAAAATATAATATTTTTAAAATTTTTTAATTTATTATAAAATATTTTATTCTCTTTAATATTTTACTAACATATAAAAAAAAAATACTTTTTATATATCTTTAGTGTATTTTAAATAATTTCTAGTAAATACAAAAACAATGAATGTATTTATTAAATTTTATCAAAAAATAATTAATATTATTAAAAACAATATATGCATATATATAAAGTAATAGGTGAAACAATATTCATAATAATATATATTTTTTTGTACGTGAAAAAATTTATTATAAAAGATATTAATTTTATTTTTAATATATAATATATATAAATATATATATAAATTTAAAAATATATTTTTATATATTAAATATATATAAAAATAAAAATATTTCCTATATTATTTCATTTAATAGAATTTTTAAAAATTTTATATATAATTTATATAATAATTTGATAATATATAAAGATAATATATTAAAAATTTCATAAATAGACAATTATAATATATTAAATTAATTATAATTATAAAATGGGTAAAAGTAATATCTTAAATTAATTATTATATAATATTTTTTAAAATATTATTGTTAATATATAGTTATATTATAGATAATATTTAGTTTTAGTCATATTAAATTATATTTTTTTACATCTAATTATTCTATATAAAATTTAAAAAAATTATTTGCAAAATTATATTAATAAACATAAACAATAAATAACATAAATATAAGTATTGGATTAGTTATTAATTTGAATTTTCTCTTAAAAAACTTTATTTTAAGTATTTAAACATATGATTAAATTAAATATATGTTTCATTTTATTTATTTAATATAAAATAAAAGAAAGCAAATATAAAAATATGATTTTTTTAAAAAGAAATTAATAATATATATTTATATTTTATTTGTATATTAATTAAATTAAAAAAATTATATTTGTATCTGAATTTAAAATTATAATATAAATAATTCTCTATTGAACATTTCATTAAGATTAACACTTAACTCTTAATTTTTATAATAAAGAAAAACAAAATATATTCTTGCATTTTCAAAATACAAAGAAAAAGTTGGCCTCAACAAAATGAAATTATTTTATTCATTTTTTTATTATTATACATATATTTTGTTTTTTAAATTTTTATAAATTGGTATTTAAATATATATTTTTTATTTTTTTTTTAAAAAAAATAATAAAATCATTTTTATTTTTTTAAAGATAATTTTATATATATTAATTATTAAATTAAAATTAAATAAAAAAATATATATTTAATAATATTAGTTAATTGTTTTATCTAATAATAATTTATTATCTAAATTTTACAAATAAATTAAAATTATAAAAAATTAAACTTTTAATTTAAATAATTAATAAATTATCTATATAAAATTTTATACATTTTTGATAAAAAATTATTTATTTATAAAAAAATAAAATATTTAATACAAAAAATAATTAATACCATTTTTATATATATAAAAAAAAGACTCATTTTTATTTATTTATATTTTAAAAAAAAAATTCAAATAATTTACTTCACATTTTATTTATTTTATTTCATATTGATATTTAAAATTAAATCAAATTAAGTTTCCAAAGTTACTAATAAATAGGCACATTCTTCTGGTTTTTCTTTTGACATTTGATAAGTAGTTTCTAAAAAATTTAAAAAGTTAATACTAACTTCATTTTATTAAAGCTATTTAACTCCTTATTTAATATCATTATATTTGTTATCATTTTCAATCTTAAGTTATTAATAAGATTATTCTTTAGGCATATTCTAAGGCATATTAACACAATAAGTAAATTTAGGAATTAATTAAGTTTAACACTCACTCATACATTCAGGATCCATTTGTTCCAAAGCATCAAAATCTATTTTTTTCTTGAAATATTCAAAACTGTATTTTTTCTCAGCCATTGAATGTATAGGTTTTTAAGGCTAAATTTTTAATTTTACAAATGTAGTTTAATTACAATTTTATTCTTAGTTTTTTCTTTCTTCGGCAATTGAAATATTTAATGATGTTTCATCATTTAAACCATTTTTTTATTTTAGAACAATTTCTTAACTTTTATTAAATTCTATATTAACATTTTCTTTGTTTGCGTTAATTTAATAATTTGCATTTGCATGTATTAAATCTAATGATTTTTCAGGATGGACATCATCTGCTGAATCTCCTTTTCCTTTTTCCATTTTTGGTTTTTGTTTTGTTTTGTTTTGTTTTGTTTTGTTTTATTTTGTTTTGTTTTATTTTGTTTTGTTTTGTTTTGTTTTGATTTTTTTTTTTTTTTAAAAAAAAAAAAAAATAATTTAATTTTCTTTATATATAATAAATTTAATAAAATATTTATAAAAAAAAATACTATATTTATTATATATATATATATATATATATATATATATATATATATATATTTTCGTATTTTGTCATTTATTTTATTAGTATAAATTAATATAAAATAAAAAAATAATAATTTAAGCAGTTTTATATATATAAATATTAATAAAGTTTAAATTATATATAAAAATAAAGAAAAATATAATAAATTATAAAAATATATTTATTAATTAATACAAAATAATTTAACCTGCTATAATTATAATATTTTAAAAAATATTAAATATATAATAATTAAAAATCAAAAAAATCTAAAATTATTGTTTAAATTTATAGATTAATTAATAATTTATAGTATTTATATTTCTTATTGGATTTTTAAAAATTTAATTTATAGTATGTTATCTAAATTATGTATTATTTTAAATATTGAATAACTTTTTCGTTTGTAAGAAATTTTACAATATAAAAAGAATTTTCTTATTATTATTATAAAAAGTATGTGTAGACTACTTAATTACTTCTCTAATTTATATATATAATGTCAAAAAAATTATTTATTCTTATATATTTATTAATTTTAATTTGTATTTTATATTTTTTATTTAAAAAATTATTAATTTCTTATTTTTCATTTTATTTAATTTGGAAACTTTTCATGAAATTATTTTCAATATTTTATTTAGAAAAAAAAGAATTTTAACTTTTATTAATCTTTTTTATTAACCTTTTATATATTAAAGTCAGCAAAAAAAAACTTATTGCCTTAAAAAATTAAAATACATGTATAAAATCTATATTTATATATAAACTGAAATCTTTTTCTTTTTTAAAATATAAATTATGGCACATTTAGGATATTAAAAAAAACAATTTTAAGATAAAAAGCCTATTATTAAATTAAAATAATTGTGTTGACTTTATTTATAATTAATAAAATAACAAATCAAATATTATTATTATTATTATTAGTATTATTATTATTTTTTATATTTTTCAATTTATAATTAAACATTTAATAATTTATATTAAAAAATCGAATTCAAATAAAATATTGTACATAAATCCAACTGAAATTATATAATTTATATTTAAAAAATTTTTAATTACATTAATATATATATATATATATATATATATATATATATATATTTAATAATGATATAAAATAATATTATTTTTAAAATTATATTTAATGTAAAAAAAATAAAATAATATTAAATAAATTTTAGTTTTTTTTATAAAAAATTATTTATATATTATTTTTACATAAATTTTTAAATCATTCTTATAATGTTAAAAAAAAAAATTATTAATTTTTAGTAAAAACAAATAATTATTATTTAATTAGTTTATTTTAAATTTATTTATTTATATTTTTAATATTTAGAAAATTACATTATTTATATCAATAATCTATATAAATAAAAAAAAAATATATTAAAAAATGGATTCAAATGATGATGAATTACTTGAAGAAGGTTTTGATGAATCAATAGGAGAAGAAAATTAAGGCGATTAGGACGATAACTATGATGATGGTTAATAAAGCAATGAAACTGAATATAATACATAAGTTATTGTACCAGATTCTTATAAATAATTAAAAGCTTGTATAGGATGTTATTTAATATTAACAGCAGAATAAGTAAAAATTAAATAAGTGTTGTTATTTTTACAAAATAATAAAATAAAAAAGTGGAAAAAAATGAAAGATTGTCCTAATTGCAATGATTAATATTAATAATAAACAACAAAATTTTAAGGGTTTATTTTTTTAATAACTAAAATATCATTATAAATAAATACACATTTTAAATCAAAATTAAAAAAAAGACTCTAATGTATTACAGATCCAAAGAAAAGTTGGTTAACTTATAGAATGAAAAAAGTCAAAGATATACGTAATTAATTATCTATTATATTATATGTAAGTTTTTACTTTTTTTAAAAAAATAATAATAGCTATTAATATAAAAACTCCAGGAGCTTATGCAATTTCAATTAATGCAGAAGAATGAATTATATTATTTTTCAGATTTATATTATAATAAATATATGCGAAGTATTTTTTAAATTAATAAATAAATTTATAATATATTTGATTTTAAACTTATTATCATATTATTTATTGTATCTGAAACTTATTTTTTATATAAAAAATTATAAATAAATTCTTATATTATTAGAAATATATTCATTATAAATATATAAATATTTATATATATTTATATAAATAAATATATATATATATATATAAATATTTATAAATATATATAAATATATAAAAATATAATAATAATAATAATAATAATAATATTAATATTAATATTAATATTAATATTAATATTAATAACTATAATACTAACTATAATTATAATTTTTATTATAGATTCAATAATATATTTATTATTTAACATATATTTATAAAAAATATTATGATTTAATATATTATATTATAATATTTTACATTAAATTATATTATAAAAATATTTTTTTTCTTTTTTATAAAATTAATTTATATTTAATTTAATTTATATCAATTTTATTAAGAATCACCTTTATTATTTTTTTATATCTATTAAATTTAATAAATAATTATATTTTTATTTTAAAATAAATTATCTCAATATTATAAAGCTAATTTTTATATATAAATGTAACTAGAAATACAATAATATAAAGCTCATTTAATTAAATAATAGAAAGTGATTTAAATGTAATAATTTTAAAAAAATAAATATATACATTTATTTTTTATTACTAAAACTATTTCTTTGTAATTTATGTAGACTCTTTTTATATTGATTATAAAATAAAGTAATATTAATATTTTTAATCTAAAATAATTTATATTAATTATTAACAAATTTAAAAAACTGAATAAATGAATAAAGGGATTAATAATATAAATAATTTATTAGTTTAACAGAAAATACTAAAATATAATAAGCAAAAAATATTAAAAACTTTAGATTAAAAAAAACAAGAATTTAAGTTCTTATATATTTAAGAAAATATTTTTAATAAATTTTTTATTTAATAATTGAAATATTTTATTTTAAAATAATATTATATTTATTTTAGAAAACGTAAAATATAAAAAAATTGTAATAAATTTTTGAGATATGTAGTATTATAAAATAATCTTTAAAAAATGATTAAATAATAAATTAAAAAAAGCATTTAAATTAAATTATTTCATATTGTTAAACATATATATATATATTTATACAAATCCAAAAATATTATTTTTTAGAATAGATTATAGATTTATTTAAAAAAAAAATTAATTTTAGTTTAATTATTTAATATTAATCATTTACATTTTTATTTAAATTTATCATTTTATATAAAAAAAGGAATATCATTGATAGTATTTAAAACTAAAAAAAATCTTACTTTTTTTTTAAATAAAATCGATATATTTTTATCGTCATGAATATATAGTATTAATAAATATTAAGGCAAGTTAATAAACAAAATATTAGAAAAAAATATAATAAAAAATTAAAATAAATATTAACTAATATTTATATTAAAAATATATAAAATAATAGAAATAAAAAATTAATTAAAATAAAAATATTATATACACTGTTTATATATTATATAAATTTATTTTATTATATATATTCCTTATATTTATTTATATAAAATGTTTTACTAATAATACCAACATTTAATATATAATAATAAACATAATAATAAAGGATTTTATTTAGATAGAAACATGTAATTTTAAAGATTAAAAATAGAGCAAAAATATTTAAAGAATTAATTTTTAGTAAATTTGAACAAATTAATAAATTTTCATATACTGCAATCTTTATTCTCAATATTTTATTTAATCTAATTTTTTGGTTTTTTATAATTATTTGGATTAATAGGGAACATATTAATATTGATATACATAAAGAAAAAAGCACAAACAATATAAAGTATTTAAATATTTTCATTAGTTTTATAACTAAATGCTATTTATTTAATTACAAAAGCAAAATAATATCAAATGATAATTTTTTCATTTAACTTAATAATATGGTCAATTTTAAATATAATTACATGTAAATAATTCCTATTAATAGAACTTTTTGGATTTTTAATTTTAGAGAAACTTTAATAATTAAATAATAAATGGAATATTTTATATTTTCCAATAGATTTCTTAACCTATATTTTTTTAGAATATTCATTACGAAATATATGGCGATAGTAAGAATAATTAATGCGCTCAGAAAGGCTTTACGCTAATTTGTTTAATAATAATTAAGTTCCGACATTAATTTTGAATTAAAATGCTTAAATTATTGAAATAAATTAAATAGCAAAATAATTAATTCCTGATTATAAATATAAAAAAAATTTAACCTAATTTTTACTCCATGAACATCAAATAAATGAATTTATTCATGCTTTGGAAAATTCAATAATAGAAAAAAATACGTTTACTATAAAAATAGGAATTTAGTTAAATCAATAATCAATTTAAGAATTTTCATATGAAAATAATTAAGAATTTCTAAAAACATATACAAGTATAATATAAAAACATTCTAAATAGACTTAATATCCTTTTGAAAGTGAATAATATGATTTTAATTTAAGTAATTAATTTGCAAAAATCATGAATAATTAAAAAAATATTTATACTTATGAAGCTAAAATATAACCATTTATATGGAATAAAAAAAATGCTTTTTTAGTTAGTCTGTATGATTTTAATGAAACTTTTTAATATTTTGAAGCTTAATAATTAATTTATGGGTATTTATAATTTTTTATATATTTAATTAAAAAATAATATAGGAATTTAAATAATAGAGTTATGTTTGTATTGAATAATATAGAGGACGATTATAAAAAATGGTGTAATTTAGCACAATTAAATTAAATTAAATTAACTGATTTAAAAGAATTATCTTACATTATTTCTGAATAGCATAATATATTAAATATTTTATATTTAATATAAAAATTAAATAATATGTTTGAGTTTGTGGATAATGAAACAAATAATTTTGTGAACTTTAATTTATATATTTTAATAATTTAAATAATAGAAGCTCATATAGTTCGAGTTTAAAATAATTTAAAATATGCTTTTTTAATTTTCGAAAATAGTTTTCCAAATAATGTAAATGGCGATCCAGTATAATTTTATTTAGTAATTTATAAAAATAAATATATAGAAAAAAAAAAAAAAAATATATATATATATAAATATATAT